GGGGGGGGGGGGGGGGCAGTGTGAGGGCTTTCGGGTTTGAGTTTGCTTGACGGCTTGGGATTGAAAGAGAAAGGTCAGGGACCCTGAGGCCTCACGTCAACTTTTACATGGAGGATGCATTGTACGGAGCGACCATCTTGTGCTAGGGTTGTTGGCAGTTGACGTGTCCCTTTGTTAAACGCGACGGCATGCATGTAGCTGCTGCTTTCAGAGAGTCTTCCAGGGTCGTGGTCTATTTGTTGTTTGGATCATAGAGTCATGGAGTACTGGCTTCGAGATCTGCTCGCCGCGTCAACGCAGTGCTACAGGACCCTTGAATGGTCCGAGGGGGGGGGGGGTTGTCAAAGTACAGACATGACGAGAACTCGGGGTCGCGACAGCAGAGCGGAGCAAATGTTGCGATAGCAGGGAGAGAGAAGAAAGGAGAGGCCAACAGAAAAGCAACTGCCCGCCCCCCTTTTCCGGGCCAGGTCTGGCGAGTTCGGTGTCGTTTCATGGCCGATGGAATGGAGGGCTTCATGACGCTGCGAGGCGAAGAATGCAGGGAAGGGAACCGGAGTTTCTATGGTTTGTTGAGGGGATGTGAGGCCTTCTTCTGAGTGCGCCTTCTTCTAGGTTGTTTTTTTTTCAGTGTCGTTTCACGCAAGGAACCGACGGTGTGGCGCACCTCCAGGAGTGTTTCTGGGCGGGGTGCCGGTGTATTGTTCCTTCCACCTTCTCCCCCGCTATATACGCCGCCCAAAAAAGCGCCTGCAGGATTGGCGTGCGCTCTTCAAGATCCTCCGCGACGTGCAGCTGACGGAGAAGTTTGAGCGGCCGGTGGACAAGAAGTACTTGCAGCGAACCTTGGGCCTGGAAGAGGAGGAGGAAAAGGTTGAAAGGGAGGATGGAGAGCCAAGCAAAGAGCCCGAGATCGAGATCAAGGAGGACGAGAACTTGGTTTTGGAGGAGCCAGAGGAAACCCAGAACTTCGATCCCGAAGATCCGGAGGGCGGCTCCGCAGAGAATGGTGGCGCCGTCCCCTCCCAAGAGGAGCTCTCCATGCCGGTGGGCTTCCAGCTCTTGAAGCACGTGGACTCCCCAGAGCCCGAGGAGCCCGATGAGGCCTAAGAGCATGTGCCCTAACTTAGCGCCTAACTAAGGCCACCAAAAAAGAGGTGGAAAGAGCCTACACACCCGTTTGTCAGTGTTTTGATCTCACCCCGAAGGCTTGCCTTGCTTAAGACCGAGCGCACTGTTGTGTCCCAACAGTAAGACGTGACTGCCAGGGCTTCCGGCGCCTGCGGGAGGGGGAGTTGGTGGAAGTGCTGCAGTGGCCTTCGAACCACCTCGAGCCGCTGAGACCATGAGGGTATGAAGGGGCCTATAGGGTCGAGGCTTAGGGTCGGCTTCGAGGATCTTGAGCCCGCCCTGAGTCCACCTCATCTCACGGCGCTTTTTACTCAGAGCCGAGGTCTGGGCTGACGCGCATGAAGGTTCAGGCCTTGAGCGATGGCTCCGTGGGCTGGATAACGCAGACGAACACAGACGGAATCATCTTTGCCGAACCGCATTGACGCTGAAAAAAACACCATGCCTCTCCTCGCCGGCCTCTCACATTACTCTACTATGGGATGAGTTGTCATGTTATATTCTAAGGCCATTATGGGAGGAGTTCTTATGTTATTCTAATTAGGCCATTATATTATCTTTCAAATGTCGCCCCGCGCACATCTCTCCGAGAGACTCGGCATCTGCAGCCGCTTGGGCTCCCAGCTGGGACAAGATGTGTCTGCTCTGCTCTCCTAGCCGCTGCTGCTCTCTCAAAAAGAGCCCCCTTCTTTAAAGAAGCAGCGGCCGTGGCCCTTTTTTTAAAAATAGGCCTCTTTGGCTTGGCTTTCGGCCTGCGCCCTCTTCAGCCAGCCAGCGGCTTGGGAAGTGCAATTCCTTTTGCCAGGTGCCTCTTGTGTGTTTTGGAAGTGTCCTCAAAGCTTGCGGTGTGTGCAGGATCCGGCTTTTGTGCACTGATCAAGAGCTGCAGCTTGGTGACATGACATGTTTTGGGGGTGCCTCAGCTAATGCAGCAGCGCCTAGGGCCTGGGATCAATTAGCTGCGCCATAGGGCTTCTACATCGAGCTCTCGGTATACTCCACAAAATCGGGGAAGTTTGGAAATTCAGCTGTGTGTTTCGGACCTGTTTTTCCATGGTAGTTCGAAAATGAATCCATCAGCGCTGGTGGCCTGTCTCGTGTCTCTCGTGTCTGCCATCCCGAACCCCGGGTCCTACCACAAGCCCTGGGCAACGCATGCTGGCTGCGCCTCCATCGTCCGAAGATTCGACTGGCAGCAGAACACCTCTGAGCCCTTGTACCGACGATTCCACGCGTGCTTGGCGAGGCGCAAGGATTTACCGGATTGGGCACACAAGAGCCGGCCGGCCTTGTTCTCAGGCGAGCATTATCCAATCTCGGTCGTACCTTCAATCAGCGGGGTGCCTCTCTATTGGATCACCCCAGTTTATGACTACGTCGTCTCGAACTTTATCAGGAAGGAAGGCACCTACGAGCCTATGGAGCTTGAGGTCTTCCGCAATTTGGTGAAAGAGGGTGACGTCGTCTGCGACATAGGCTCACATGTGGGGAGCTACTCGATCCCTTTGGCTTTCCATGTGGGTCAGAATGGTCGTGTACATGCCTTCGAGCCCTTCCGGGTGGTGTTCCAGCTGCTAACAGGAAACGTTGCCATCAATGGGCTCTACAACTTCTACACTCATAACGTGGCACTGGGCGAGAAGTCGGAGGTGCTGCGCGTTCAGAGCCCTGCACTGAAGAAATCGAGCAACATAGGTGCCACGAGTGTCTACTATCAGGCGAAGCCTGTCTACGGGGAAAATCATGTCCTGCAGTACGAGGGCGAAGAGTTTGTGAAGGTGGAGACTCTCGACTCCTTCCAGATTGAGCAGGTGCATTTCATGAAGATTGACGTGGAGGGGGCTCTGGAGAAGGTTCTGCGTGGAGGCCAAGAGACCATTGAGCGAAATCGGCCCTTGATAGCATGTGAGCATGGTGAGGTGACTGCACCTGAGCTTCTGGTGGCTTGGAGCTACCGCTGCATCTTGGTCTTGCCCGTGCATGACCTCTGGGTTTGTGTACCGCAGGAAAAATGGTGGCGATATCGGTGGCTTGAAACAACCGATTTTGGGTATGGGCCTGCAGCAGAAGCTGCTGCCCAGCAAGATCTTGCTCAGGAAGTTCGGAGGAGTACAGATCCACCCAAGCTCTTCCGAGAAGGGGAGGGCATCTACTGATCCAGGGCTCTGCGCAACCAGCTGCATGGGCGAGCTTCGAAAAGAGAGTCGAAATTGCGCTCGCCGTCGGAGAAAGAAGTTCCTGTCGTAAAGCTGTCGAGGAATCGGCTCTTCGCAAACTGGTTGCGACTGAGGTTTTCAGCTCCCAAAGGTGCGCCCGGAGTCCGGCGTATTTCTGAGAGCAAAGAAAGTGCAGTCGGAGAGGCTGGAGAAAAAGGCGGCCCGAGAGATCACCTCTTAGGGGTTATAAAGTTATAGGGTTTAGGGTTTATACGGGTTTATAGGAGTTTATAGGGGCTTATAGGGGTTATTAGGTGTTTGTAGGGGTTTAGGGTCCTCGTTCGCTCGAAGCGGCTCCTCCGCTGAGGCCGAAGCCTTCCAAGAGCAAGGGGACAGCATTCAGGCCAACACCTCGCCAGAGGCCGCCCCTTCGGGTGAAGTTCGCAAGTTATTTTATATTACATGATATGATATTACATCATATTATATTATACTATATTATATAGGGTGCAAGAAAAGAAGCTTAGTCGACAGCCTCAACTGCGCTTGCTCTCGCGGCTGGTTTCTTGCAGCCGTTTTGGCTGCCTTAGACGCGGTCCCAGCGCCCTTGGCTTCACAAGGCCCTGTGCTTGGAGGCTAGGGCTGGGGGGAGTGGGAGGTGGCCGCAGAGTGCCTCAGAGCCCACAATATTTATATAATATAATATTAATACAATATACACATATTATTAATATAATAAGAATATAATATTATAATACAATATAATATAATAAAATATCCGGCTTTTCTGCCTTAGGCCAGCCATGATGCAGCTCCCGAGAACAAGGCGCACGCCTTTGCAAGTGGGTGCCTGTGCCAAGCCCGAAGACGAGCGCCTGCAGCCCGAAACAAAAGACGATGCAGAGGAGGCCTCTCTCCTGCGGCATCCTCGCCACATTCTTGCCCCGAGCTCATAGAACAGAACCGATGCGCCGATGGAATTGAGACAAGCCGACCCTTTGACACTCTGTCTAGTGATGCAGAAAGTCAGACTGATCGGTCATGGTGAGACGAAGAACACTGCCCAAAGTGCAAGGGCAATCGGCAGAACAGCAACAACAAGCATTTTGCAGTCCAGTACAACCCAGGTTGGCCTCCTTCACTTTGCCAGGGCCCGGAGATTCGCTTCTTCCGGGGGGGGGGGATGTGTGGAGACTTTGCACGGAGTTCTTCTCCGAGGTCCGGGACGGGCTTTCTGGCACCTGCTCCTCACTCCAGGCCACCCTAAGAAGCCCGGTATAACCTGCCGGTTTGCTTACGGAATGACCTTGGCCGACTCTTGGGTTTGTAAAGAGGAGACATTGCTGTGCGATGCTCTGTGACAGAACCCTGACGTCGGAGCAGAAGATGCTTTCATCAAGCTCTGAAGGCCCGGCCTCGGGTGGGGTTTTTTGGGCAATGGACTGCGTCCATGGGAATCCTGGAGAGGTTTGGGCACCGCCTCTGACGGCTTTGCGGCGATGCGCGGGCCCCCTCTGCCTTTTTAAAACAGGGGAGTCTCACTTTTGACGGGGAGGGTCTCTGCTCAGATGGGGCTCCGCTGGGCTCTGCACGGCCCTCGCGGGTCTCTGGGGAACAGCACGCGGCGGCGGAAGGCCCTACCTCAGAGAGCCCGCAGCAAGGCTTTTCGGTGCCGTTGATCCTGGCTTGTGCCTCTCAAGGACTCTTTGCCTGGCCAAGAAGAAGAAGGGCGGCGGCGGCGGTGGCGGTGGCGGCGGTGGCAGTGGAGGTGCTGAGGAAGGCTGGGTCTCGGGGAGTGGTTGAAAGCAGCTTTAAGTGGGCCGCGCGCAAGCACATCGCATAGAAAAGCTGCAACATGTGTTCACGGGTGAAACCCATCTGGGCACCAGTTCATCGGCCGGATGTAAGGTCAGTCCTGTGAGGAGCCTTGTGGCAACAAGCAGATCTAGAGGAAGCTGCCTTCTCAAGTTTGAGACGGCAGGCGACGTAGACATCGACACCGAGGCCATCGTCGCAGACTTCGAGGACCATGGAAGCTGTCTCTGTAGGCAGAGAAGAGGCTCGGCCTTTGGTGAGGAGAAAATGAAGAAGTCCGTCGTCCTCCTCGAGGATAACCTGAGAACGATCAGAGCTGGAAAGGTGCCCTGGCAGGTTCTGTTTTGCACTTCCGTGCTGAGGCTCCTTTCCCGCTCTGCCCCAGGCAACTCCTTCCCTGTTGGACAGCGTGAAGGCCACAGAGATGTGCGTTAGCCCTCCAACAAACCCTCAAAGCCATTCCCGTCCCCTCCGCAGCATCCCCTATGAAGAAACCCCAGGGTCCTGGGACATGAGTGATGACATAGGTTCGTACTTGCCGTAGCCCTCTGTGCAGGTGAATGCTTACGAGTCTGTTCTGAAACTCGAGGAGGTTGCGACCGTCACCGCCACAGCCCGAGAAAAATGCAATCCCTGAACCGTAGCACTGTTAAAGAAAGCAGATCATATCTATCTGTATAGATATGGTCATACATGACATAAACAAACGGACAGACAAGCCGCATGCCACTTTGAGACTTTTAGAAAATTACAGTGTGCCAACCAGACCAGTCTGCACAGATAGATAGTTAGATTAGATAGACATAATTATGTGAGAATGATAGATCCGTCGATAGCTAGACAGGCAGACAGACAGACAGACGGATACTGCGATACAGATACAGATATATACACTTGCATGCCGGTATGTATGTATATATATATATTTGTGTATATGTATATATATATATATGTATCATATGTCGTCATGCATGGATGGGTGGATGGATGTATACTTATGTGTATGTATGTATGTATGTATGTATGTATGTATGCATGTATGTATGTATGTATGTATGTATGTATATACATACATATACATATACATATATATATATATTGTATGTATGTAAGTTTGTATGTATGTATGCATGCATGCATCTATGCTTGCATGCATGCATGTATGTACGCACGTAGTTCGTATGCATGTAGGTATGTGCATGTGGATGTATACGTATATGCATATGCATATGTGAATACCTTTTTGTCTCTGCACATGTAGAAGTATCTGTAAATATGTGCATGTATGGATGTGTATGTATATATATATACATATATATATACACACACATATATATATATAAGATCCCACGTTCACGTGATTTAGGAATTGATCCGATGCGGTAGGGCCTTACTTCCTACTGTGCGTATTTAGACAGTTTGCGCTTGTGAATGCTCCGAGGCTTCTGACACCACCACGCTGATGGTGAACGTCTTCGATGAGACGGTCGTGGGAGCGGTCGTAAAGGTGTCGCAGAACGGAGCCCATATGACGGACAGTACACACACCACATACACATACATGCCGAAATCTGAAAAGACTGGCCTATGCACATGCAGACACACACGGTGCACGCGTGTATGTATGTGGGTGCATTTGTTTCTGTTGATTCATATGCTGGTGTACCTAGGGACCCTGTCGAAATTTGAGGCCATCCAGACGGCCGATCTGGGTTTCACGGCTTCGGAGACCAAGCCTCAGAGAAGTTCTGTCCCGACACAGGGCCTTCCCCGCAGCTTCGGGCAGCTTAGGATGGGCCAGTCAGTGAAGGCCGCGCTTCTGCAGGATAAAGGGGTTTTTGAGGGCTCCAGCTGGATCAAAAAAAGTTCCCAGAAAGCAGCTGAGGTCAACATCCCCCCCCTCACGAAGGAGAAGCGCGTGCAGTACGTGAAGCTGGCCAAGGACTACGCGGAGAAGTCCAAGGCCTCGGAAAGCCTCAAAAGCTCCAAACCTCAGCTCTTTCTTACTGTGCCTCCGGCCTCCTAGGGGCATGCGGTTTCGGGTTTATAGGACTTAGGATTTAGGGACTTCGGGATTAGGGCTTGGGGTTTTAGGGTTTATAGGGAAACTGAAGTCCTGAAATCTACTTGGACAGGTCGCGGTCCGGAATGTCCGGCAAGCAGCAATGAAGAAGATCAAGAGCTTCAACAAGAAGCTCCCGGAAGATACGGCGCCGAGCTCAAACTTCGCTTCCGCACGAAGCCCGAGGATCCCGGAACCCTAAAAACCAGGAACCTCGCCAAGGCAGGTTCGAGTGTGAGTGCTGAAAACCCCCCCAAACCTTACAAACCCTGGAGGTTGATGTAGGGGCCTTAGTAATTAGAATAGGGTTTGGGGGTATACTCAACCATAACTCTTATAAGGAACCACCAAAACCCTATTCTAATCATTAAGACCCCTATATCAACTTGGTAGTGGCTTGAGTCTGAGGTGAGGGCCATGACCCAGGAGGTCGAGGACTTTGTGAAGAGAAGTGTAGCTGACATCGAAACTCAGCACCAAAAGAAAGCTACAGCTCCCTCCTGGCTTGCTCCTGGCTTTAGGGTTTAGAGTTTAAGGTTTAGAGTTTAGGGTTTAGGGTTTAGGGGGACTTGGCCGGGCGAGCTCAGTTCAAGCCTGTGGAAAAAAGGGAACTTAACCCAAAATTAACCTATCTTTGGGATGTGTGGCAAAACAGCCAGTCTCCTGCAACGTAGAAGTATGTCAAAAAGAGTCCCGCCCTCAGAGCCGAGACTACATCCGAGGACTCGAACTTCAAGAGCAAAGAGACGGAGCTCACCACCCTCTGAGTTGACCGAAGGGTTGAAGCCCAAGTGCGCACTAGATATATGAGTTGTGTTGCGACACCGGTTTGAATGCTTCTTCAAGTTTGGTAGGAATTTGTGGTTCTCTGTACATAGATAGAGTATATGCGTGTAAGTATAAATATAAATATATAAAATATACATATATATATATACATACATAGACGCATAGTTACAGTTGCTCTTTGTTCGTTTGTGTGTTTGTAACATGCTGATAATAGGGTCACTCATTAGCCCGGCACCGAAGTGTCGAACATAGATAATATTTCCGCCCTCAGGGCGCAGGGCCATCGAGTGGATACGCGAAGCAGCATGCATGATGGGTGGTCTTGGATACGAAGTGTCACCGACCCCCGCATGGATCTGTCAGGCCAAGCTTTTCCAAAGTTTTCGCCAGAAGAAAAGCGCGCGCGGTTCCCTGCAAGTCGCCTCCTGCTGCTGTCAGCCGCATCTCTACTTTGAGGCTTTCTGAAAGTAAGCGTCTATTGCAAGTGATATTCAAAAGCGGGGGGGGCGGGTCACACGGATCTTTGGGAGGTCCTGGCCGTGGTGTTGGACTTCGCTTTGCAAAGCGGCCTCGTCAGGGCCTTGCTTGTCGGTATCCGCTTCTCGAAGTCGCAGAAGAGATTGCCGGAGTTGACTCCGGCAGGTAGCCAGCCCTCAATTAAGGAATATACCTAAGCCCCTATATTTTACTGCGTAAAGAGGGTATTGGGCTCTCTCTTGACACGGGCATGGAGCATTGCATGGCGATGTTTCCGGAGGAATCCAGAGAGAGACTGCAATCTTGCCAAGGGTCTGAGCACAGAAAGCAAAGACAGCCCTCGGCTCGTGACCTTGCCCAGGATGTTCCCGAAGTGACTGTGGCTGGTCAAGCTGAGGCCCGCCAGAGAAGGATCTCTCAGCTGAACCCTAATAGGGTTTAGGGAGTTGAGGGGAGTTTAGGGTTCGGGGCGTAGAGCGCCGAAGGTTCCACTCAGCCCTCGCAACTCGAACAATGCCGGACAAGGTCTGATTTGTCGGTCGGGTTTAAGGTTTAGGGTCGTTCCGGGCGAGAGAAGCCTGCTGCGAAAGGGTTTGCACGCTGATGCGTGCCTTTGCTTTTTGAACATGAGCCCTCAGCTTTCCACATCACGGTGGAAAGCACCGAAAACCCAGCAACGAAGAGTCACGTGGAGACCGCAGCACCTAGTCATGTTCCTTAACGTAAACAAAATGGGAACCCGCAAGATCCCTCTAGTCTACTTCTGGCAGGTTTTGTTTTTAAACGTCCCCCCGGATCAGGGCTCGGACTTCGAGGAGCTTCTGCTGCCCCTGGTGGGACCGGAGCTCTGGCCGGCCTCTCAGAGTCGCGCTGCGGACGGGTAGTTCTCTAACTCAGGATCCCTTCTTGGTTGGTCCCCATTGTATGGAGTACGGCACCAAAAATAGAAAGGAACTCAACAGGGACCCTCCTTGAGAGAACTGCCCATGTGGATTGTTTATGGCATTATGGACTGTCTGTAGTGAAATGTAAGCAGTCTTTTCGTTGCAGATACCAATGAACATGATGAGCAATGTTTGCAGTACTGTTTCGTTTAGACGCTGTGATTGCGTACTTGACAAAAGAGACGCATGTCGACTTTAAACATGGTGCGGCTGCCAGAGCATGCAGGGTGTGGGTTCCCCGAACCACTCTGGATGGACGAAATCCGACGGAAGATATAGCAAACTCCGACTATCTCTCATTGTTCTAGAGCCAGGCAGATATAATCTAACCTCTGACGACCCTTTGTTCGGAATCCTGATACTTACAATATGAAACCTTGGCAAGGCGCCTGGAGGTTCCGAACGCACGCCGGGCGCGCGCATGGGTTCGAGGCTGGGTGGAGCCGGGTCCCCAAGGAGGGGACTTCTCGGTGCTTGCTTTGGGGGTGGGTGACAAAGGCCCAGGAAACAAGAAAGCATAATGATTAAATGAATGTTTGGATCATGGTGAAGTACATATTATAGCTGCGATTGAATTCCGCCTGATGGTGGCTGCTACGCTGGTATTGCAGCATTATCCTCCTGGCTTCCTGTTGTGTTTGCCTCAGCTGCCGTGTGTGGGGCCAACAGGGTCAGGCCTCACTGAGACCAAGTTCACACTAAACTCTAGACCGTGCTGGCAAGATCCGGGAAGCAAGGTTCAACTACTGCCGTGGGGCCAACCAGAACGGTGCGGCCATGAAGAAAGTGGGCCTGAAGACCCCGGTGGAGGCCGAAAAGCTGCCCTCGCTTCCTTAACCCAGCTGCTAAGCGATGCCAGACGCAGGTGCGGCAGTCATCCCTGGGAAGCTGCATCAAGTGGCAACCTGAGCGCGAAGGAAGCCAAAGACAGCGAGAGTAGTAGAGTAGCAGTCTCTCTTTCTCTTTTCAAATCATGCTTCGAATTATAAGCCTCTCTAAGCCTCTGCTGTGTGATGCGATTGGGCCTTGGCTCCTGGAAGGTTTATGCCGCCTGGGAGTCGCCAGCCTTCCTCTCAGCTGACCAGCGATCCCCGCACCTCTGTGTCGTCCCTTCCTCTCTCTCGCCACACCTTCCTAGTCCGATGATGCATGTGCTCACTGACCTACATAGTAACATAGTATCTGTATACATAATGCGCATACTTACCCATACACGTGTATACTGTATTTGTTTGTTGATGTCTGTGCTATAGCACTCATCATGGTGGTTGCCTCGTTCGGAATCCCTGAGACCGGGCGCCGGCTTCGACGGCTTGCTGGAAGGAGGACTCCTATCAACATGAAGATTCCTTATTTATGTCGGAAGGGCCAAGGCTGCGTAGGTTCCCTTAATGTCATTGCCACGAGTAGGACTGGAGATCCTTGTCGATGATGCTACGACCACGAGGTGGGAGGAGCCAGTTCTGCAGACTCCGATGTTGACACGATGGGGAAGCAGAAGCACAGAATTCAAAAAGCATCCCCTAGTGAACGAGCACCCGAGCATCCCCTACATCATGGCAGGGCTCCTTTCAGACGCCGTTACTTCAAGGATATGGGAGTCTCTGGAAACGCACAGCTGGAGACCTAGGGCACAGTGATGTGGCGCGATGTGGCGAGCATTGCCCCTGTTCAAGAGCCCTAGACGAAAGCTTCGAAGCCCTAGAAACACAGAAGGAACAACTAGGGCGGGAGTCTGCGAGCAAAAGGAACGACAGGAAAGATGCAGGAAAGCGCCACTGTGAACCTGGCATGGGTGCAGAAGATGCCATAGAGGGGCTGTGGCTGTCCTTGGCAAAACATGCTGAGCACAGTCTGGGACACCTCAAAAACTTTCTGAAGCAGTCTTCGCTGGATCATACCAGGCCGGCTCGCATGCGAGTTCGCCGATGTGCCAGATGCCGAGCGCAAGCCCAACTCCGAGAGCGACGTCTCGAGTCACTTGACAGGCCTATGGCTGGCGGAAGAAGCCACGCGAGAGCCCTCGCCTTTGCGTAAGCACAGATGTACCCAATGTACCCCCAATTCCCCTTCTATGGTTTGCTGTAATATGGTTGGGGACAGAGACATGCTTTGCACCCACGGTGCGTGAACACAGATATCATGTGCGGCTTCTGCAGCATCTATCTCTCTCTCTCTCTCTCTCTCTCTCTCTCTCGCAAGGGCTCTCTCGGTTTCGGCTTCGGCTCTGGAAGGTTCCGAGCGTGCCATTCTCTCGCGCCTGCGTCTGGGCCTCGGCTCCCTCTTTTTGGGGTCCCCTGCGCTCCCGCTGCGCCCTTTTTATCCTACCTCCCGGCTCGGAGGCAAGGACTGGGAGCTCTCGGAGAAGCTGAGGTCCTAGTGAGCTCAAAGAAGCAAAAGGACAAGCTCAGGGCTCTGAGAAAAAGGGCTCTCCGTCCGCTTTGAGCCGAGACAGCCACCCGCCCACCGGGCCCCCGACCCACTCCGCTACCTGATAGTTACCGGGGCCCGAAAACGGGCTTTCAGCTCCCTGGTTTCCACACCTTTCGCCGCCATGGACCCGAAGCTCTTCGCGAGGAGGGGAAGGGAACTCGAGAGAGCTCGTGTCATCCTGGCGCCTCGGTAGCCGGAGGCATAGTTTGGTGGCCTCCCAGCACTGCGACAGGCCGTGGCCTGCCTTTCTGTCCTATCATGGTGGGAGTCAAATCCGCGAGTCCAGGTCGGCCTTCGCCAAGCCCGAGCTGCCAGGAGGCCTTTTTTCGGATCTTCGGCTCAGCGGTGAACTAGCACACCATGTCCATGTGTGACAGGCTGGGCCAGGCGATGGTTGCACGAGGCCGACGGAAGGGTATCTTCTTTAGGGTTTCGGGCTTATGGCCCAGGGATAACAAGTTGCAGATCATGCCACATGACCGTTCCAACACCCAGTCCTTGACTAAAACATGCCATGCAGGCTGCTGCAATTCTCATGGGCCCCCCTACTTGTACGTCACCATGACTCATCTGGGGAAAACTTCTCCTGCACCCCCGATGACTAAACCAGAAGAACAGCGAAGAACGCACACTGAATCCCAACGGTGTACGCTACAAGAACGGTAAGAATTTCATTGTGCACGCTGGGTGATTCTTCGACGACATGTCTCACAAGCGCCACTCGTGGCTTCCGACACGTTGACATTGATACCCCCTCGGCATTCAAGCAGTCTTTACAGTCCGTAATGTGGTTCTGACGAGAACCGCTGATGTAACCCTGACTACAGATCAGAGATCTTGGTGCTCTTTGGAATTGTTTGTGCAAGGACAGATGCTCTTGGCTCTGCATTCCAGGAATCCGAATTTCCCGACGAATCCTAGCGTGTTGCCCGCACACTGCCTTCCCATTCAAAACACGTGGATGCTTGAAAACCCAGTGCGCAGCTGTCCAATCGTTTGGTGTCACCCGGTCCCCCTTGCGAACAGTGCAGGTTAAGCTTTTGGAACTTGCCGTCTTACTGTGGACATTAGTTTAGTTGCTTGTCACATCCCAATCAGCTAAATGCAAAGGCCCGTATGTGCCTGTATCTGTGGTGACGTACCTGCAAGAGTTGTAGTCCTCATAAGCAATCATGAACACCCCAATCTCTCCTGTGCTATTGGATGTTACACCCAGCTTGGTGCTGACAGTGCAGCGTCTCAATGTCTAAAGTCAATCAGTAGTCTTTGTGGTTGGCCTTGCAACATCTGTGCTTCCTGTAATAACACAGGTAGGTCTGGGTGTAGAGTTATGTACTTAGCTACGTATTTTGTGGTGTTATCGCCACCCCATTTCCAGGATCCAGGTGCGAGGGCCTCTGTGTGGCTTGTTTGAGGGTGCTCCTTCTCTTCCTTTGGCCATTTCCTATCCTCCCAGATTTTTTGGGTAGTCTCAATCTGATCTTAGGGTCTTCGGGGTGGAATCATGACAAGAATGATAATATATACAATTTTCGTCAAAATGAAGGCGAACAAGCAAGAACAAAAAGAACAACAGCATGTTTAATAGTCGTGTTATTCCGTATCAGTCAGTATCATGATGTGTCCCCGCAGCCAGAGGCTGCAGCGCCGCTTGCGGGAGTCGCTCTTGTCTGAGGCTGACGCCCCCAGGTGGTCAAGGCCGGTGCAACCGTCTTATCTGATTTGCGGGACACTGTGTCGTTGTACCAAGTCTTCCTCGCTTCTGGGCATAGATTCGCATAGATCCTCAGCCATGCGAGGGGGCAACAGATTTGTCCCGCATGTAGCGTCTGCATGTGAATGAAGTTCGCATGTATTTGATGCGTACGTCGTCCAATGAACGGTGCCGGAGTGGAATTTGAGACGTCCCTTGGGTTCTCATCCCCAACAACGGCTGTTGGTGGCAAAAAAGCGGTTTGACCCAACTTTGCCAGTCGGCAGCCGGAGATATAATGCAGACGCATCGAAAATAATCCGCGCCCGCCCTAACCGTCCCAAGCCATGCAGCACGTACCCAACTAAGTTGAGCCTGAGGGTTCACGGCGACGAGTCACATCAAATCACGAAGTCCGACTCCGTGGGCCCTATGGAGCCGGTGGGAAGCCTGGGAAAGAACCTTCATCACGCCTTCACACTACAGTATCTCCCGGCAACCACCACTTCACAAGAGAGGACGAACGGCAAGTCACAGAAGGAAAGCTTCTTGTTGTGAAAATGGGTCAAAGGGGAGTGCCGAGGAAGGTAAGATCCCAAGGGCCAAGATGTTCAAAGGCACGCAAGCTCGAGACTTCGGGGCCGGGCTTTATGTCGTTGTGGTTGAGGAGTCTTCATGAGGCCGAAGGCGCGGGCTTTGCGAAGCCTGCAGTTAGAATGAGAAATGCCAACTTGCTGTTTAGATTGAGAGCTGCGCTTTCCACTTGCTGGGCTGGCGAAACCCAGCTTTGACGGTTGGCATTTTGCTGGGCCTCTGTTATTTTACTTACTCGTGCTCATCAGCAGTCTCGGTTTAGGACCGCGAATTGCCCTATTGTACGTTGCAGTTGGTTGATGCTCTGTGGGTGCATTTGTCGCGGTCCTGTCGCGCAGTCCTTCGACAACCTTTTGCTACCGTTGCCGCTTGCCTGGCTTGTTTGACTGCGAGCCTGTAAAAAAAAACTGCAATCCTACGTAAACGCTCACCAACCCTATAAAAAATGCACGCATCGTCTACGCGCGGAAGCGTTTTGGGAAGCTTCGAGGCGAAGAACTCGGCAGCTGACCTTCCGTCGCAGCTTCCGGAGCTCGCCAACTTGGCCTGGTCGCCTTGGCCTCGGAGCGAAGAGATATCGATCAGATCAACAGCAGCACTCGGCCTGTTGTCCTCTTCGAGTCTTGAACAGCCCACCAGAGCCCGGTCATGTCTTGGGGGGATGTGGTCGTAGTAGGAGGGACTCTCTCTGTAAGCCTGCAATAAGAACACGCTGGTCAGCTACCATTGCAGTACTGGTAACACCCGAATTTTGTCGGGCGAAGGGTGGACTTTGACTCGGCCCAGGTCAGCAAAGCAGCAACGCAAGGACTTGGGCCGACCTGGGCCGACGGATGGCGTGAGCAGAGAGTCCCCCCCCTGCGCTGCCAGGACCGGGCCCTAACAGAAGCCACAGGAGACGATGTTTCAAGGCGACTCGATGCAGACCCACAGCAGGCCTGCAAGTCAGCCTTCCGGCTTTCAGGATCTACGAAGGGGCAGGGCACTTTCACATTTTCTGAGGTTTCCAACTTTGCGTGGGGACCTGGCAGGTCAGGCACGGGGCCCGGACATGCAGTCGCAGAATCATTCAGGAAGCTCCGCCCATAGGTATTGCAAACCCCAAAGTGCAGCAGAAGACTAGGATGACTAGGAGGCACGGACTCTTGTCTTCCATTGCGAGGCTCCAGAGAGGCGTGGCCCAACGAGGCTTCAGGCTCCCATTTTTGGGCGCAATCCCAAACTCTGTCAGCTGTTCGGCCGTTGGCCTCAGGTGCAGCGGGCCAGAAGCTTTCGGCGAGCGACGTCAAAGCTCAGCACGCTGCGAGCGCGAGGTGTGCGGCCTTGGGGCCAAGAAGTGCCTTTTTTCCCAACGTTTCGATGCCAAGGTGGAGGTCCGCGAAGTTGAAGATAAGTGACCGGCGGGTCTCAGAGAGGCGCGGGGACCGGGGCCAGCTTGCCTGCAATGTGCCCAGCTGGCATCTCTCGAGGCCGCCTCCATCTCCGTGCATGTCTGAGCCCTGACCGCAGCAAATCAGCAACATTGCGGGCGCCTCGGATTCGGCCGAAGAGACTTTGCTCTCTAAAGCCACCTGCGTATTGCCGAGGTCCGAGCTCACGGAAAGTCAATGGCATCCAGCGACATCTTGCTTTCCGGCCAGGGGGAGATCAGCAGAAGCCTATGGACACCACATGACACTAGCACTCACCCTGCAGGCACTGGAGCAGGTGCCCTGCGCCTCACCTCCGAGCCCTTTGCCTAACGAGCCCACCCTGAGCCGCACCCCATGTTTTTGACCTTGAAACAGCCCCCTTGCAACCTTCCCAAGGCCGCAGGGACTCGCCAACATGGTCTAAGCCCCTGCGAAGCTCACGCACACAGGCCAGGTCGGGGCAGGTACCCTTGTCGTTGCATTGCAATCTGAAGCTTGCTGCGCGAATCGGCTATGTTAATCCATGGAGTCGAAGCAGACGCGGCAGTGATGCATGTTCATAGAGACGTAGAGACGGCCTGCTTCTGCGTGGATGAGATATTGATGGATGTAGACCAGTCTGGAAAAGCAGGTGCCCCGCCATCGGAAGCAGGCGCGACAGTTGTGTTCCACTTGGATGAGCCAACGCAGCCAAATGCGCCAAACCGAGGTGCACGTCAGGCCACACGGCAGGTGCGGACGCCGGCACGGCGTGGCCGCGTTGTATGCGGCAAAAGCGGGGTGTGCCTTCACGCTGAGATCCACGCGCCCACCGAGCAAGGCCTCGTGAACGCCGTCCCGAGCTGAGCTCGGTTCCCGCTTGCGTTTGGGTGGCGAGCTCCTTTCTGAGGTCTGGGGACTCGGGAAGCCGCAGCTTTCTCGTGCGCTGTTGATGGGTGCATAAGCTCAGCCGCAATAACCGGGGCCCCCCGGGGGCCCTCTCTCTCCGCCTCGGCTCCCCCAAGGTGCAGCCTCCGCCGTGGTCCAGGAAAGACTCGCGAGGCGCAGAGCAGCCCGAAAAACTCCCAAAATGCGTCGGTTGACGGATGTTGGATCTGAGCCCGCGAGGCTCACTCCCCGGTATCCCTGCAACATCTCCCGGGCCTTCTGTGTCATTGCCTTGGAGAGCTCCCAGCTTCCTGCTGGCACGATCCCCCGACGAAGCTGAGGCATCAAAAGCAGACGGCCCCGAGCCCGGCTTGCACTGGGCTTTTCAGCTTGCCAATGAGAGTGGTTCTTTGTGCGACCTTAAGGCGCGGTTAACTTGCAGAGGATGTGTGCGCCAGCGCAGCCGTTCACGCGCGGACCAAGCAATTCCGCGTAGAGTGCGCGCCGAGACATTGCCGACTCCGGCAAGACGCCAAGCTTGAAGTATCCAGCTACCATCAGCTGCCATCGGTTACCGAAGGAGGAGCTTGTATGTGGGACCGCCTATAGCTTTCCTAAAAAAATGGGGGCAACAGGGAGCTGCATTTCTTTCACTGGCACTGCGCCTGCCTTACGTCCGTTCCTCCCTCGCTGAGGCGGTGACCGCAGGATGGCGCGTCTCCTGGCCTGTGCTGCGTTGCTCCAGGCGCACAAAGGGTTTCTGCTAAGGTCCTAAACGCCCGGGTTTTTGGGTATTTTGGGAACTTCAGAGGGCTATTAACGCCCCAAGCCGCCCCCTAAACTCCCCGAAGAAACTGCTACCTCAAAGTGGGCCCAGGTCGCGAGCGCTGGCGTGGCTTTCGTGAGCCCGGTGAATCTGAAGCCGGCAGAGTTGGCCCCCAGAACGGCCGGTGCCCAAGTGAGTGCCCCCGTTTGTGATGTGTTGGGGTGTTGGGGGGGTGCCATCAGTGCCAATCCTCGCAGGCCACTTCTTCCACATGGAAAGCCAAAGCATCAGGCTCTTGGCGTGAAGCCTCTGGTGCCGGCGTCTCACTTGCAGCCGCCCTGCTTGTGGGAGCCAGTTTCGCCCGAGCAGCCGGAAGCTGAGCTTTCCGGCCTTGCCTTTTCCCCACTGCCCTGAACCCTTCTGCCTTCGACGATTCGAGGCGACGGAACGAGCGACATCGCTGTCGCCGCTCTCCATGGCGGCCCACCGAAAGCCCACCAAAAAGGGCCGAAAGATTGCCGTCATTGAGTGCGTGGAGCAGAGGCAAATGGTCAAGGACGGTGTGCCAGGTGCTGGTGGACCCCGCGGAGGCGTCAGCCGCTACTACACAGAGAAGAACGTCCGCAACACACCCGAGCTCCTCAAGCTCCGCAAGTTCAACAAATACCTTGGCCGCCACACCCTCCACGTGGAGATCAAGTGAGGGAGCACAAAGTCACAACCGACAGCCGCATCGGAAACGAGTAGCAGACGATGTCGGCGTGATTTCGCAATGCGCTCATGTCCGAAATCGATGAGAGCTCTCCGTTGAACAGCCTAAGGCGGCGCAATGCTGGCTGCGATAGCACAGGTGGCAAAGCAGCATCCGTGACGGATCGCGGGCCCGCGCGCGCTTCAGCTTCTAATTGCTTACGTCTCGCACCAGGCATGGCAGACCAAGATCCGGGAATCCAATTGCCAGGTCCGTGGCCTCGTTCATCTTCTGGTCTCCTAAGCTTCAGTCGATCACTCGTTAGCAGCCGTTCGCATCCTTTCACGGTGCTAGGACTTGGCCAACGTGCTGCGATCAATGGCAACCGCTGAGACTCGACAGCATACGAGCTCAGGTGAGACGGTTACTTGGGTGGAGATGTTTTCTTGCATGTCGGCAGGCATGTTCCACCCGTGCCCGAATTAGGCGGCATCGCTTCCTGCAGAGATGCTCGCGGCGGTCGCGGGCCAAACCGCGTCTCCAGCAAAGCGCACCAACAATGCTCAGTTCGAAGGTGGCGGAGGCGACGGCTCTTCGCCTGCACGGCCGCATCCTTAAGTCTTCTGCAGGGCTTTGATACACCAGGTCTCTGCAAGCCTTTCTTTTCAGTGGCCCGAGCCAGAGCCTTGCGGCCGTAATGAGAGCACATCTAATCGCCCTCCCTGCGCCTCGGCCATGGATCCGGAGAGGCCGAGTCGTAGTCTCTGACAGAAGAGGATTTTATGCTTGGCTTGAGAGGCATCCCTTTTGCAAAGGCTTTTTGGTAGCGATGGTTGCATGTTGCTGCCGTGAGATCTCGGCCCAAAACACCATCCCGCAGCGGTGAATCACCGCCGCCCGGGGTGCCTTTGCCTCTGATGGCAGGATGTCGGAATCTCTGCTGTTCGGGCTTGAGGGGCTTGCCGCGTCTCCTTGGGCGAGGAGCCCCGGAAGAGCCAAAATCCAAAGAGAAAGAGACCGGCGACTCGACGGAGAACTCCGTGGCTGGAGCCAACACTGCGACGGATGCCCAGAGCAACGCTGAGGGCTCGGAGTTCTGCGGCTTCCTCTCGAAGCCGGAGCCCTGCCCGATCCAGGCAAAGGGAGGGCAAAAGGTGGAGACAGTTACGTGGGGAGGGCCGGGAGTGGGTTTTCTTTGCTTGGACGTCGGTTGCCTCTTGCTGCAAGGTGCAGCCGCAGAACATCGCTCGCTACAGCTTGCCGGAGGAGGCCCTGTCCTATGTCCCCGAAGAGGCGGCGGTGGTGATGCCTTTTGCAAACGGAGACAAAGAGAGGTTGATCTCTTGCAACATCGAGCCTCGGCCCATATGGTTCTTCTTATAATAAGGAGCTCTCATAGTAACAACAAAAAAGGCGCGACTCCATATCGTAGCAGCGAAAAGGGCATAGTTTACCGACAAAAAAGAGCCCAGGAGCTCTCAACGGAAGAGCTTCGCTGGCTCAAGGAGTTGAGGAAAGAGGCCTTGAGGCAGCAGAGGGCCTTCCTACCCTCCGTGGCCGTGGCTGCTGTCCGCTTCTTAGGGGATGCCCGGGGAGATGTGGACTTGGCCCTTCGGGAGATGGAGGAAAACCAAAGCTGGCGCCTCTCCTACTTCCCCAAGCCATTGCAGGACACCGAGCTCTTGTCAGATTTGAAAGAGGGTGCCGTGTACTTCTGCGGAAGGGACTTCGCCTTGCGCCCGGCGCTGGTGATGCGCGCTGGGCGGGTGCCCTTCGCCTGGGATGCCCCGCGCTTTGCAAGGCTCTTCATGTTCTGCATGGAGTATTTCCTACGTTACATGGCCGTTCCCGGGAGGGTGGAGAATGTGGTCGTCATCATCGACTTGCAGGACATCTCCTATCGACACATGGCTATCCCGGCGCTCATGGAACTGAAGGAAGTTTTTACCCACCAGAATGCAGGGCGCGTCTTCTGCTTCTATGTCTGCAACATGCCCTTTCTGGTTCGGGCCCTGGTCAACGTCGTGGAGGCCGCCATGACGGAGAGGGCTCGCCAGAAGATCCGCTTCCTGAGCGACGTTTCACAGCTGCGAGAGGCCAGCGGTTTCTCCCTGCCCAAACTGGCCGTCGGTATTTCAAGCTGCGGCCAGCACAGTGGACGTATTGCTTCGCTTGTTGATTCGGCTTTGTGTCTTCACGGTATCTCTATACGATGACCGTCAATACGGTTGTCTTCATTGCAGACCATTGCCTTAGGCTCTTATACGTTTATTGATACATTATGGACGTGTTATTGACATATTCCTGATTCGCTTTTGATATACTAGTGTATATATATATATATATATAAATTATATATATATACACAGAAAGCGTCGCACTATATATATATATATGAGTTTACATCTTTACATGGTCGCTCCGCAGGACTTTGCCTTGAACCAGCTGGAGCGGGACTTGGGCGGCTGCCGCGAGGCCGCGGAGACTTTCTTCCCCTTCCCACTGCCACCAGGACCGGGCTCCTCTGTCGCGCCCCTAGAGCTCAGGGGTTTAGGGTTTAGGGTTGTCGCAAGGGTTTAGGATTTAGGGCTCACCATAAAAAGCACAGTCATATGATCCTTTCCAACAGCAATCGTCATAAACAATGCAATCAGTCAGATTGACGATGATCATGAATGATCATTATAGTGACCATATCAACATCACGGAAAGCAGGAAGCCGCAAAACCATGTGAAACCACCATTGCTTCTCCACTCTGGGCTCGGCACCTCTCTCTCTAAATACTTATATATGTATGTGTATATATATATATGTATGTGTATATATATATGTATGTATGTATGTATATATATATATATATCCGAGTTTCTCTCCCTCGTTGTTCAGCTCTTCGTGGGAGCGTCTCGATTTGTTCTTCTCACAGCGATGCGGGAGGGGGGCTTCCTCGCAGCATCTGCTCGTGGGAGCTTCATTTTCCTAGTCATGTTGATGCCAGGACCCTTTTCAGCTGGCTCTCCCGGATCCAGGAAAGAAGCGGTGGGTGATCTCCATCAGATCATGACGCGAGCTGGGGCCCGCGGCCGTTTGTGGGACCCTGCCACCAGGTCCAGTTGCATGGAGTTTGCCGACACGGCCCGAGACTTCCTGAGACAGCACGGCCTCGAACATTTGCTGGATCAAACTGGGCATGTTCGTGCGAAAGCCTTTGCCGAGAGTCCTGAGCAGGTTGACCTCTCACCAGAAGAGGTCTCTCTGCGTTGCATCTTCTCGTGCGAGCCACTGTTTAAACTAGGTTGCCAGATTGGCAAATGATCTCCCATGAAAGAGGGCTCATGAGGGCCATGCGGCTGCCGCCGAAGGCTTCGCTGGCCGCACAGGGGCACAGCCTTGAAGGCACTCCTCCGATCCCTCGGTTTCACGAAGCACAGCCACTGTGTCTCTTATGAGATGCAGCTCATGCAGCGACCAGTTGGCTCGAAAGGTAGCGGAGGATGTCAACATGTATATACATGGGGCCCCCGCGTATATGTATGTCGCAAGACTATGCGGATAGACAGGTGAAGATCCACATCATGGTGCGCTTGTATGTGTATGAAATACACATGCTATAGTGCAATCAATGCAGTCGAGTCTACGATGCGGGAAAGGAAGAACATGTATTGTCAAATGGAATGCAATAGACTAGAGCATAATATCAGACGATGTATAACTATAAAACAACATGGCATAGCATAGCACAATGTACTCCAGTATGGTTTTTTTAGGATATACAACATTATAAGATCCTGGTATACTATACTTCCAATACAATACTACTTATGCAATACCAAGTCGCATAAGATGCTGCAATAAGACATATTACGATGGAGTACAACACAACGTAGCAAAGTACAAATGTGGTTCTGAATATACTAGACCAGAGAGATGACCGTAGTGGCCTCGCAGCCTCGGAAGAGAAAGAGGGAGAAAAGCCCCAGAATATAATGCACTAGACTGAAGCCCGATATAATGCAATTCTCTGCGCGAAGGAGATAACAGTTAACAGTCTGTAGAGTCTAATGATTAGCATGGACCAGAGCAGAATAGACCAGGGTACCCCGAAATCTGCACGCCTGTATGTCTACGTGCGTGTATGTATGTACATACATACTTATGTATGGGCTTATCTGCTTGTACCGCCATCAACCTCGCCTGACCTCGTCGAGCGCGAGTGCCAACACTGTATGGGCTTGTATATGTAGACATGCGCATGCATCTTTGCGCAAATCAAAGTTCATACGAAGTTGCGAAGTACGTAAGTACATACGTAACTGTACAGATTAATGAATATCTATCTCTTACACACATATGTGCATATATAATTTATATAATATATATATATGTATGTATATATATACATACATACATACATACATACATACATATATATACACCATCTATGTATACATGTTTTACACATGTGTGTATGTGTAGATGTGTTCGGTTGTTTTTATTTTAGTTAGTGGCTAAACTCCAGGAAAGCTGCACTCTCGGGGTCCCCGTTGAGCTGTTTTTGCAAGCATGTTGTGGTGTTGCTATTTTTCCTTGACATATGGGCCAGGGGAGTTCGAAGCTGAGGGGGTCGGGGCGCATCGCCAGGCCGTGGTGCCGTGAAGTGGAGCCGGCGATGATTTGAAGAGACCAGGGGCTTTGGCCGTATGCTGTAGGACCTTTCTTCCTCTCGCTCGGCTCGTTTTGGAGGGTTTCGGGCTTCAGAATTGTTTAGGGTTTCGATGATTTCGGGCTGCAGGGCGAGGCTTTGAGGTTGGGGGTGGAGGAGTCCGTCTCGATCGGTCAGAGGGTCCTGTTGTGGCCGCCAGCAAGCCCAGCTTCCACAAAAAGCGGCATTCCAGGCTTTTTTGGGCTGCAAGGTATTGGGGTAATCACGACTGCTTCCGATTTTCTGCAGGGTCTGCAGGGTCTGAGGGTTGACGGCTCCAGGTTTTGCAGCCTTAGGGTGTAGGAAGTGCTAGCATGATGGCATGGCATGGGCTCCCGCTGCTCTTTCAGCTCTGGTGGGCTGGAGCCACATCGACACCATAGACTCTTAGAGTGACACGAGTGAGATGCCCCTCGACCTACGCAGTACATAAGAGACTCTTGGAAAGCTGGCCTTGCAATGGAAAGCATCGCGATCCAGCCATGTTTGCCACCGGGGAGGCCAGTGCCCGGGTCGTCCCGGCAGCGAATCGCCGCTCGCGGCGTCGCTTCCCCACCTTCCAGCGCAGTCGCCGCAAGCAACTCACGGAGTCTGGGCCTCGCGGTGGGATTTGCTGCGGGTTTGCGGGGCCTGCGGATCGTGGCCAAAAGGAGGGCATCTCGCCTTGCATGGCGAGGGCGGAAAGGGCACGGGCGTCTGGCCGGTGTCCAGCTGCAGGCGACGGCTGCAGCTACGGAGGCTACAGAGTCCGAGGCAGACGTCGTGGTTATTGGGAGCGGGTTGGCTGGACTCACGTGCGCCGGGGTGTTAGCGGCTGCCGGCAAGTCGGTGACAGTCTTGGAGTCGCACTACGTCCCTGGCGGTGCCGTCCCTGCCTGAGCCGTGCCTGAGCCCATCGCAGCTCTCCTTCTTCTTTCGAGCTGAGGCCCACACCTTCCGCGCCCGTGCCAAGGGAATCAAAGGCGACTTCTGCTTCGACTCGGGGCCCTCCCTCTATGGAGGGCTCAGCGGCGAGCGCGGGGCCCCCTGCATACGGAGAGACAAAGAGCGAGTCAGAGCGAGAGAGAGAGGCTTGCATTGCATTCCTTGGCTCTCTGGAAGAAGAGAGGGTTCAACAGCCTCAGAAGCGATCTTGCTGAGGAACCTCCTCGCCTTTGAAGCATGTGTACCAGCCGCTTGACTGCAAATGCTGCTCGAGGCGGCAGTTTCACAGCAATACCAGCTCTGTTTTTCAGGATTCTCGGCGAGGAGCCGGAGTGGATTACTTACGACAGGCCTCCTCTGTGCTCCGCAGAGCGCCAGAAAGCGCGCAGCCTTTATTGAAAAATTGCCGTCAGGTGGAATGCTTTCATCCCAGAGGGTGAGGCAAATGCAGCGATCGGCTACGAGGAGTTCGTGAGCAAGTTGCTGCCTAGATTTGGAGGCCCAGATGCTCCTCAGCAGTGGGAGAGGCTCATGAGTCTTGGACCTACATTCCCAGATCCTTTGCAAGGCAAGCTGCTCCCGTGACACAAGACAACGACCAAGGAATCGGATTATTCCCATGGCAGACGCCATCTGCAATGGGCCTCCGCCCTCCTTTGTGAGGGAGGATCTCGGCGTTGCGGCCACTCTGGCGCGATACCTTACCAAGCTGCGCCCGGACCCACACGAGTAATTGTCTTTCCCTTCAGGTTTACACATACAACATGCTAGTGGCAAAAAGCCCGAGAACTATGGGGGGTTCCTCCCAGCTTTCTGAGAGGTCCTACAGGGCTCTAAAGACTCTAAACCTCACCAGCCCGAAGACTTTCAGTGCCCCAGCCTACCTGCAGCGCAGTCGAAAAAATTCTTGAGAAAGGGCTGCCCCTCCTTTTTCTTCAGGAAGCCCTATAAACCCTATGTACACCCTAAACTCCAAACCCTAATAGTTGCGCTTGCGAGTGTGAGAGTCGAAACCCTAATAGTGGCGGGTGGGAAAAAAACCCTAGCTATGTAGGAGGGAAAAAATCCCTTCTTCTTCAGGAAGTCGATACCAGGAGGTCCACAGAAGCTGTCGGAGCCCTTCAGCCAGTTCTTGGAGGATGCCAAGGTCCTGAGATGTTGAAGGTTTTGGGGAGGGCTTTTGGGGGGAGAGAGAGGGCTTCATTTCTGATCCCCCCCGGTTTAGTGTTCAGCATGTTGGGGTTTAGGGTTTGGGGTTTAGGGTTTCAGAAGCTGCGAGTGGGGCTGATAGACCTCCCGAGGTGACAGATCCCTTCATCAAGAACTGGATGGACATGTTTGCCTTCCTGCTTCAGGGATTGCCATCCTACGGAGCGCCAACCAGCATGATGGCTTCTCAGATGAAGGATAGTAAAGCGGGGGGGCAATGCTGCGCATGATCATGTCTGAAGGGCTTTCTGCTCCCATCGAAGATCCAGCTTGAGGCTTACATGATGGGAGACATGTACAAGAAGAACACCTGCTTGGATTTCCCGAAAGGAGGCAACGAAGCCCTTGTTGGCGCTTTAGTTCGAGGTCTGGAGAAGCACGGAGGCGCGAAGTTCCAGAAGCTGCCCGACGAAGATCGGTTAAGAGGGGGCTACGGGGTTCTTGAGTCATTGAGATTCGAAGACCCTTAGCTGAAGCCGGCCGAAGCCAGGCCAAGTTCTCTTGAAAAAGCACGTGGAGGAAGTCCTGGTGGAGGGTGGGAGGGCTGCCGGCGTCCGCTTGAAAGATGGCCACGTCATCCGAGCACCGACCGTCGTCAGACGCGGCCTCAGCTCCGAACCAAGCTTCCCGAGTCCCAGCCACATCCCCCCCAAATTCATGTGTAATCTACCACAACATATGACAATATAATATACTCTCTCTCTCATATATATATAGAGAGAGAGATTGATTGTATGTATATCTGTATTAATTATAGTATATACCATACTGTAATATACTGGAAGAGACTGGCATAGTCCTCAGAGGTCCTCTTTGGAGCCTTGGCTCCTTTGCTGCCCAAGGCAACGCAGACTGGCAGGTCACCAAGTCCTTGATCAAGGAAGGTTCGGCACCAGAGCTGGAAGACTATTTGAAGACCACCTGGAAGGAGTACAAGCTCTTGAACCTTGCCTTGGGATGTTTAGGGCTTAAGGGTCCCCCTGGAAGTTGTATCCCCTTTTGAACCTTGCCTGCAGCATCCACTGTAGCACGGCCTGCACTGGGCTCCTCCCATCAGCTCCGAGTGACTGCCTAAGGAAATCCTTCATCCACTTGCACCTTGGGTTTCGAGGCGATGGCCTTCCTTCAGGTCACTGCGAAGAGCTCCTTGGTACTCATTGGGCCTCCGCTTCTTGCTCTTAAATGCCGGATACATTCCTTTTTCAGATGTCAGACGGCCCCTTCTGCTGGCTGAAAGCAAGAAGGGAAGCAGCGAACCGACTGCTTCTTCTAGCTATTACTGCTACAACTCACGACACCCACTACTGCAAGGCCCGGTTGGTACCCGCTACAGGGGCAAGCAAAGGAATAGTACTATGGGAACGGTGGTCTGCGATTGGCTCTCAGACTCGTCCTTATGTTGAGGCTCAACATAGTCTGACACATTCTATGCTTGTCTTCTGCAACAGCAGCAAGAAAAGGAATTCCGAAGCCTAGCTGGTCAATCCACGAAGCAATACCTGGCCTCACGACTTGCATTCCACAAGACGGCTTGCAGACGTCTGCGAAGAGGTTCAGCTACACAGTCGGCCCCCCGCGGCTGCACTCCCAGTACGCTACCGCAACTATTGATGCTCTAGCTGCCTCCTTCACAGACCACCGAATGAATGGTGCGCAGAACAAGCACTTTTCTAGACGTTGTCTGTCATGTCTTGAAAGGTTCCCAGCACAATGGGGAGTGTTCAACAGCTGGTCAGACTTGGAAGCACCCCGCAACGCCGTGCTGGTCAGCTGCCCTTCAATGCGGCTCAGCGATCGGAAGTTGGCTCTTGCATTTCGTTCTATGGCTCCTGCGAGACTCGCCCAGTCTGAGATCTGTGAGTCGAGGTTGGATCCAGATTTGGCTCCTCCAGGGCATCACGTGGTGCATGCCTACACTCCTGCGACGGAGCCTTGGGAAGACTGGGCCGACCTGGACGAGACGCTTCGCAGCACAAAACCCGAGGGTTGACGCATGCGTCATGTCTTTTGCAAGTATATGGCATTATGATTAGTGCAAAAAAATGGGCCCAGGGGCAGCAGCGAATACAAGAAGAAGAAGCAGGAAGCTCGCGATTTCTTGTATTCTGCCGTAGCGAAGCAAGTACCTGACCTCGAGGACTGCCGTTCTGGCCTTGGTTTGCAAGGCCGCGCTAACGCTGAACCAGCAAGGGTTTACAGCAGCGGCTACTTCATGTGGGGTGTAGGGGCGGTGCCCTACAATTTAAATGTTAGGGCGGCATAGGATCCCCAAAGCGAGGAGTTATCTGCTATCTAGGCATCTAAAGGCAAGGATTTTCTTGAGTCTCAGACTCCCACATGTCTTTTCGCCAGGACCGCGTGGTCCTGGAGCTCGTGGGTACCCCACGCACCCATCGAAGATTCTTGCGAAAGCCGTCTGGCACGTACGGAGCAACGGGGGCTTTAACAGCCTAAATCTGGAGATAAAACGGAAACTCGTCGGTCCCTTCAATGAATGATGCCCAGTCCGCAGGACTCCGAGTTCAGGCGCCGGAAATGCTGCCCGGCCACAAGACTCCGCTAGAAGGTCGGGGCACCGCCGTTTTCCTATGTCAATTCTATGCAGTCATGGGGCCGTCTATATTATATTACACACACATATATATATATTATCTATATTATGTATTTTATAAGCGTCTTGGGGGCAGGATTTCACATGTGCGGAGACAGCACAGCACCTGGCATTGGCGTGCCGGCGGTCGTTATGAGCGGGCACATCTGTGCCAATAACATCATGTCCGTGCCCGAACACTGGCAAATTCTCGTCGGCGGCTCAGAGCACGCAGTGTGGACAAGGTTTTCCAAACATCTGGATCCTGCAGAGAAATCTGAAGAGCTCAGGATAAGATCAAGGACTGGACCACGGAGCTGGAAATCTGATCTCCATGCTTCACGCCTCCTCCGCAGCCCATTTTTCTCGACACATCGAAGGTTGCCTGCGAAAAAGCGGTGCTGCTCTAGCAGAGGAGTTTGTAACATGGAGAGGTTCTATGGAGATCGGATCTCCGTGACGGAGCGAAGCTGAACCCAGGCGGCCACGGAAAGTAGCGGTCTCGAGGTCCAAGCTTCTCCGGGTAGTGGCGAGTTGGATTGAATGACAAGCCCTGAATGGCCCGAAATCTTAAAGCTCTACAAACCGAAAAGCCCACAAAATTACGAATTAAGCATGGAAAGAAACGGAGAACCCTTAAACAAGGCCTTAAATAACCCCAGCCCAGCAAATTTGAGAGAAAGCTCATTCCTCCGTGTGAGCTATAGTCTAAACTCTTATTATCCCCCTTAATATCCCATGTACAGTAATATTCCCCCACGAATAACCTCCCCTTTTCAGGAGTTTAGAGTCTACTTTGCGTGATTTTCAACCATGGCCCGAGCTGCTGCAGCTGCTGCCGTGGAGAGGATCGTGCACAAGGCTGCGATGGCCTTCAAAGCCCAGTCGGTAGAAGCCCTAATTAAGCCCAAAAACCTATACAATTATCTAGGACCATACCTATTGCCTATACAACGGCAGAGGTTTCGATCAAGGCGGGTATTTTTATTTTTCTGTACCGACGATGTAGATACCTACCGGGTTTTGAGGATAAAAGGTTAAAGGGGCCCAGATGCGGGCACATGTAGACCAGTGTTCACGGTAGGATGTCGAGCCGATGTTCGGGGTTTAGGGATTGAAGTGGGGCTTGGGATTGCGTTGAGATAAGGCTTATCTGTGGCAATGTTCTGCACTGAAGGTCTCGAACGATACTTTGACTTCAGGCTTTTATTTGCGGTCAGGGATTGTGGTTCCGACTGCTTGCATGCTTGCTCATCCAGGCCAGCTGCATGCAATAATTTGTATTTCTGAGCTCAAGGAGGCACCAAAAAGCCTCTCAAACCCTGCCTATCGCTGCAAACCCCTTGTTTTCGCCCTAGACAGGCCCTATAGAAGTCTCAGCAGCCCAAACCTTCTGAGCACCTAAGCCTTGCAAAGCCCTATCTTGAACCCCCAGAATTCAATGAAGCAAAGATGTCCCGAAAAAGGCCAGCGAGGAGTCTCGCCGTCTCGATGAGACCCAAGTCTTCGTCTTCAAGATCCAGGTGCTCTCCTGCTTCAGGGCTTTTAGGGACTGTTTGCAGGGGGCCTCTAAGCTCCAGGGGTTATGGAGGGCTCTTATTGTGGATGTGAGCAGGCTTAGTTAGGGGTGTTTTGGGAGTTCAAGGGGGATTTTTTTGAGACGTGATACGACAAGGGAAGGCCTCTACTTGTCTACGAACGCCAAGCTGAAGAGAGTCTTCCCGATGCGCGTCTGCCCACTCATTGCAGCGTCGCTTCTGCGCAGAGGCAGTGTGGGGCTAGGCAGGAAGCAGAAAATGCTCGAAACATAGCAGACAGCAGTGTCACTATCTCGGCTATGCACGGCTTGTGCACAGACGTGGTGACCAAGTTGTTGAGAGCAATCGGTATCCAAAAGAATCCCGGAGGCCCCCCCCTTTGTCGAGCTGCATCGCAAGCCCAGTGAAATCCGGCGTGAGAGTGCTGGGACCGATGTACAATGTAGGCAAGCTGTGAACACGGCAGGTCGACTCAGTAACCTTTGACGGAGCCCAGCTGGCCAAGACAAGAGGCTTGCGTTTCGTGACTTGGCTGAAGGAAGCTCCCCTCTCCCATAGCTCTGATGACATCTGACTGAACACTCGGGCCCCGGTTTCACCGCTTCACCGTGGCTTCTTCGGACCGAGGCCTTGGCTTTGCAGCACGGAGGCGCGAAGCGTCAGGAAGATCGGATCCTGCTGACCCCATCCATCAAGCCCATTGTGGAAGAGCTCGAGCCGGGTGAGGGCCGCCGCCAGTGCTTCTTCAGCATCCGCTACGAGGTGGACGTGCTGTGGGAAGGCCCCCTTTCCGGCGAAACTTTGGGAAGGCAGGTCCCCCAAAAACCCTATCCCGTGGCCACAGGTGACGAGACCTTGGTGTTGAGCGCTGTGGAGCCAGGGAGGCTCTTCTTCTCGACGCAGGTGGGGAACGGGACTTCGTGTCTCGCCTGTGGCACGTTTAGTATGGTATCATTCCGTCTGTACATGATGCATATTACACAAACATGTATATACATGTATATATACATACATGTAATTATACTTGTATGTATGTATCTGTATGCATGACTGTGCGTATGATGCGGTTGTTGTAGGTCATGTCTTTCTGGAGGTTGCCAGTTGTGACCTGCCCCTGGCTGTCTGCTACGAGCAGCTCGTGAGCAGCGCGAAGAATTGCAATCCGACCGAGGCTGTCTGCGCCTTCTCAGTACTGAGGTTTGTGGTGCAGATATTTGGATTCAGGATGTTTAAGGGGTTTTTTTTGGCTCGGCTTCGAGTGTAGCTATTGAAGTGTAGCAACGATTTTGCTACTTGATTTGGAGTGCTTCAGTTTGCTCGTAAGGGTCTCTATCTCATGCTGCCGCGAAGAAGGCGCGGAAAGGGACACTGCCAGCAAGCGCCCTAAAACTTTGGCATTTGGACGCCGAAAAAGCTTTGTAATCAGGGCTTACTTGCGGCTTTCCTGCGCAAAACGCCTGCAGACAGGCGGAGCCCTTGCCCATCGAGCTCGAGCTCGAGAGTTCCAAGGGTCTTGCCGGAAGGCAGCTGGGGGGGGGGAGTGGCCGTTGGAATTCAGGAGGTTTAGGATGCAGGTTGTGTCCCTCATTACAGGCGTAACTTTAGGATCATTAGGTCAGAGTGCTTGGTGAGTGCGTATTGTGCCTTAGGGCGCAGAGGGAGCACTTGCCGCAAGTCAGGTGCAGGATCTTCGTCCACTGCTGGAAAGAGAGCTTGAAAGCCCTTGGGGGAAGAAGGGCTTTGAGGTCCACCTTCCCGGAGGCACTTCCTGGAGGCCGTGCTCGGGATTCGAACATCCCATGTCTGCATGGGTGCGTGTTCATGAGTGAGTCCATCGCTACCCAGGGTAGCGAAGCAGCATTCCAGATGTGCATGCATGGTTAAGCCTGCAAGTGTTTCAGGTCAGTGTCATGTAACAATTGTACATGCAGGCATGCTGCATGCATGCATGCATGCATGCTCATACATGTGGTTTCGCTTGAGACTAGATTGGTTCATGTGCAGCCTTCAGCGGCCACAGGGGTGCGGGGGGGAGGGGTTTGGGAGCGACCTGTCAGGCAAAGAAATTCATTCCGAGGCGATGAGGCAGAAGATGAGCGAGATCCACGAGTGCCACAGCCTGAATGAGAAGCTCCAGAAGGCGGGTCAATCATAGATCCGAGGGGGTGAGAGCCATTCCGTAAGTGCTATGTCGACGCTATCTCCATCTACACTTGGATACATGGATAGCTACTTACCTACCTACATTCTTAGATAGATAGATACATACATACATACATACATACATACAAGTTTAGAGAACACAGAGTGACTTGGCTCTTGCTAGACATGCCCTCCTCCTTGGAAGTGTGATCGTGGCGCCAGGCGCAAGCGGATCTTTGGATGCAGGGCGTCAAGCGGCTGACGGATGAAGGCTGAACAATAATGTTAGCCTTATTGGGGGGTAACTAGGACTATCCCTATATTTAGGCGTTTAGGGCCGTAGGGCTTATAGGGTTTATTGTAGATACAGGCACATAGCGAAAGCGCTGTGTCTTGCGTCGCGGCTGACAGATGACTGAGTCCGTGTGAGGGAGAGAGAATATGATCCCAATTAGGTCAAGCTGTTGCTTCCCCTATTCAGGGCCACTTGCCTTGTAACGGTACTCGAAGCTGCGGAGACCTCGTGAGCCCTGCCTGAGCGTGAGAGTCGAACACAGTAAAACAGAGCATACTTGGAAAGGCCTGTAACCGAAAAAGACCTACTTTTTTGAAGGAACTATGACATGTAGAAACCATAAGAAGGAGCCCTAAAAAGGGTAGGTCTTTTCGGTTATACAGGTAACGACTGTAGTAGTTTCACTTTGAAAGGTGCTCTGGACAGCCAAACGCTGAACTTGGCCAAGACGGTGGGTCTGGTCTCCCCAGAGCGGGCCGAGAGCCTGAGGCCAGGCCGGTTTTGGTGAGTCTTTGTGGGCAATGATAGGCTTTGGGGTTTTAGGGTTTTGGGATTTAGGGCTTGAGGGTTTAGGGTTTTAGGGTTTAGGGTTTCAGCTGGCAGGGTTTGGGGTTTGGACGGGTCTAGGGCTTAGGGTGCGTGATCTTGTCCCGATCGGAAGGCAGACAAAGAACGAGCCAAGGCTGTCAGCAAGGCCGGGCAGAGCATGTCGCGTAAGCCAGTATGCTATATTACTTGACGTGCAATTGTCTTATTTGTGTTTTGTAGTCTGGCGGAGGAGCGGCTCTTTCGAAGCCGTGGAGCGTGCTGGCGAGGCGACCTGGTTGCGATTCACCACCGCGTGAGCACGAGACTCACCCGACAGTCTCACCTGAAGTTCCCGAGCCGAAAAAACTCGCCCAACGTGGCCCGGGCCGAAGCGGAAGGCTTCCTGCCAGAGTGCGGCTCAGCCTTCTGGAACAGCCGTCTTTTCGGGCCATGCACTCGTCAAGAAACAGAGAGGTGCTGCTGCGTGTTGCTTTGGTGCACCGGGTGTCTGCACATGGCTCCTTCACTCGCACAAAAGAGGCTCTCTCTCTCTCCCCTCCGAAACCGCGGCTCTCTTTTTTTGCTTACACCTCCAGCGGACACCGCGAAGGCGCCCAGCGCGGGAGAAGGCGGCGCCATGTCGGCTCCCGGGCTTCCCAAGAGGCGATCGGCCCATCTGCTGCGGAATTGCCCCTTGCTCTCACTCAGCCGTGAGGTGTTTTGAGACGAAGGGAGCTGAAGGGGAGGGAGCTGAAGGTGTTATATACGGCTCCTAATATGAGGCTTTTTTTTATTTTTTCAGGTGCCCTGGCGCTCTTTGCCGGCCTGGCCCTGAACGTCACGAGCATCGGCTTCGCCAGCTTTGGCAGCTCCTCCCTTTTTGCCGGCTCGAGGAGCCAGAAGCTTTGGCCTTTCCGGTGTTGAGTGGTTCAGGGCCGTTTCCACTGCTCACGAGCACGTCCCACCATCAATCGTTAGTCCTTCCTCCGGGTGAGCGGGGGTGACGGTCCCCGAAAAGGTTTCCGGCGCGGATTTCTGTTTTCTGGAGGGGCAAATGCCAAGGACACGGCTAGCCAGCTCTGCGCCGGGACGGCGCTTGGACTGGAGAACCTCGCAGCAGGTAGCCCCGGATGGATTGGATGGGCTTGCTGTTCAAGGCCCGGTTTTAAGTCCCAGAGATCGGATCTGAAAGCTTCCGTGTGGTTGCCAGAAATGAGGTCTGCTGGATTCTTCTCTCTTGACCTCCTTTGCGGACCAAGCTGGCAACATCAACGGGATCTTATTCCAGGGCTCACTGCCCGCATACCTCCTCTTCCTCTACTTCCTGAGCTACAAGGGGAACAACACTCCGCCCTTGACCTTCTTTGGCTTCGCCTTCTTGCTGGTCTTCGTGTTTTTAACGATTCCAGCGGGCATCATCTCCAAGAGCACCTACGGCCTGATCCTGGCGGACTCCGACTGGGTGCATGGGAGTGCGGAGTCTCTCCTGACCTGCACCAACATCATGATCGTCTTGGGCTTCCGCGGGGCCCTGACGGGAAATGCGGACCTTGCAGACAACGGCACAGTGCGAAACATCGCTTTTGGATGGCTGGCGGCCGTGATTCTGACACTGGCGGCCGGCATCCCAGTCTTCGGCTTCGAGGCTCACACGCCTTTCTTGTCGGGTCTTGGCGCTTTGGACATGGGCTCTTCCGAGCCTGTGAATGCCTTGTCCATTCCAAACTGGATCGTGCATTGGTCCACCGTCTTCGAGTTCCTTCTGGCTATGTCCTTGGCCTGGCGCTATGCCGATGCTGTGGGGAACTCGAAGTGGAAGGGTCTGACCTGGGGGATGCTCCCCTCCTCGATCTCGAGCGTCTGCGCCTTGACGTTCCATATTTTTTACAACCAGATCCCCTGGATCCTTACGGGGCAAGCTCTCTTCACCTTCATCGGCAATGCCACCTTGGCCCTGGCCACCTATCGCATCGCCGTCTCCAATGGCTGGACCTTGAGCGAGCTGGATCCTCGCCGCCTCTTCGAGGAGAAAGCCGAAGGGAAAGCTGAGGAGACTGGGTGCTCGCTCGGGGGATTTTATGTAAGTTATTATAATAAATAATAAAGAAACCCTAGTATTTGTTGTAGAAACCCATTTAAAGTTGTGTATTATTATTATTATAGAAACCCACGTATGTGGTAACTTAAAATAAGCATCCCCCTACTGCAACAACAGCACCCAGGAGAGCCCGGGCTTTGACATCGGAAAGGTGGCGATGAGCCCGGAAGGCGCTTTGACCTCCGGGCCGCTCCTCTTGGCCGAGGTGATTTTGCTGACGCTCCTCTTCGCCTATGGCACCAAGTACGGAGACTTGGGCTCTCCTGTTGTTAGGGGGATATTTCTTTATTTTAAGTTACTATATAAGTGGGATCTATAGTAAAGACCAAGAGGGTTTTCCTTTTTATGGTAACCTAAACGAAAAATTCCCTAACATGCAGACCCCAGGAGAGCTCATGCTCGGGGCCAGCATCTTCCAGTCGCCGGAATCGAGTCCCCAAGCAGCGGCTCTCATTGCGCTCCCCGTCCTCCTCGTGGCTTACGTCATCTACGGTCAAAGCCCCGACCTCCAAAGCGGCCAGCTACCGCCCCTCGCCCTCTCCTCGTCATCAGCCCCTCGGCCCTCAAGAATGGGTTTCTAAGTGTTGGAGAAGAGTGCTGCTGATGTCCGAGGCCAAGGAGAAATAGCCCGAGCAGCGCAGCTCCCGAGCAAAAGAAGCAGTCCTCCGCTGCCGCTGCACTCTGTGCAAGTCTGCCTTTGCTTCCGCTGGTTCCTCCTGCCTTCCCTTCCTTCGTATCGAAACAACTGCAACGACCCATGATATGTACGGAAGCCAGGACATCCTGGCATGCCATCGCAGAGGAGCGGCCGCAGGAGTGAGAGGAGTGAGAAGGCTTAAGGGTGAGCAGAGGGAAAAAAGCGGGGCCGCCTGCAGCTTCCCAATTTTAGAGCCCTCTGCGGGCCTTGGACTCCCTTGAGTTGCTGAGTTGCCGAGGCTTCGAATCCCAGGGTCTGGCAAACACTTCCTGGTCCTCGGGGGTGTCCAGCGCCGAGAGAGAGCTTTTTTTTTTTCTGGGGAGGCAAGTCTTCTTTCCTTTGCAGGCCGGAGTACCGGGATCTGTTGCCAATGCATGCTGCGTCCGCCGTGGCCGGAGCCCCTCTCTCCTTTTCCTTCTCTCTCTCTCTCTCTCTCTCTCTCTCTCTCCCTCCCTCTCTCTCTCAGCGTCTCTCGCTATTCAGATCCCAAGCAGGTCAGCCTCAAGGCGTCTTCTTTCAGTTCGCAGGAGCTCTGTAACGCCCGGCCCTCGCAGACAGCCGCGGTGGCACAGCTTTTTGAGTGCCACAGATCGCGAAAAGGCGATCTGGGCCTTCGCCACGTCGAAAGCCGTGGAGGAGCCACCGTCGCAAGCCGCACGGCTCCCGACTCTTCTGGCTCCTCTGCACTTCCCAAGAGCGCCGCCTTGCTCCCGCCAAATTAGGTCGGAGATGCCGCCTACCCCCGCTTGTGCCACGCCCAGAGCATTCTGCCTCCACTCGCGGCTTTCCCTCAGCTTCGGTGAGGCCCCGGCTTTTACCCGTGGACTTGGCCAATGCAGCCCGAGCACCCGCGACGGCTTCGACCTCGAGGGAGGAGCAAGCTTCAGCAGCTTCCGCAGCTTCCGTGATGTGTCTGTAGGACTTCAGGGTTTGATGCAAAGAATGGCTATTGCATATAGGATCCCGATGCTGCAAAGCGAGGTCTTGGGGCGGGGGAGTGTTCGTCCCCTTCACGTACAGCTATGATGTAGAATAAAATGGCAGAAAGGACCCAATTAAGAAGTTCTGGAGGCCCCTCGAGATCCTTTCTCCTTTTGGCTCAGGCCGAGCATGCGAGCCAGGCGTCGGCAGGGAGCCTACCGCCGGCTGCCGCGCCGAGAGAGAGAGCTTTGGGCGCCCCACTCTCCCACTCTCCAGGCCGCTGCGGTCGAGGAAGTTGCTGAGCAGAGGCGCTCCATGAAGAAAGCGAGTCGAAAACGGCGGTCACTTTTGCCCACAAAAAGCACGCACCGCACCTGCGTTTTGTTAGGTTTGGAGCCTGGTGCGCTCGGTGGGGAGCTGATTGGATCCCTGCTGGTGAAGAGCAACCTGTGTCCCAGCTCTGAGGCTGGAGGACGACGATGCCGTGGTGCACCCTCCGTTGTTGCCATGCAAAAGAGACTCAGAGGGACGGAGGCGGTGGGCGTCGCTTTCAGGTCAATGTCCTCTCCGTTGTGGAGGCACTGGGAAGGCTGGATCTCAAGGCCTCAACTGCAGCAGCGAGACGACGAAAAAAAGAGGAAAGTACCTCTGCTTCCACCCTGCAGCCCTACAGGAGTCTCTTCTGTCTGCTGCGTCGGCGGCACTCTGCGAGCGAGCTCAACGCTTGGACGAAAGCTACCAGGACTGGATTTCCAAATGGCTCTATCAAGCACAACGGCTTCGTAGATAGGGTGGTCAGCATATTTACGCATGTTGAATCGCCGTGCTGCATGCGCACGTACTTCTTTCAACTGCCTGCCCGATTCGCGAGTTGAGTGGATGGTTGCAGCCGGCAGTCCCTGAACGCAGATCTCAGTTAAGTTGGCACAAGGAGCAGCCTTTGCCGGAGAATCTTCGTGTGACGACGGCAGAGCCGCGCTCTCTGTAATAGGGGATGTAAGACAGAAACATCCAGGTTCTGCTAGAGTCGCCAGAGTGTGGAAGCACCAAGCGCGGTACAGCTCACGAGACTCGAAGTCCTGCGCTGCAAGCTCCCTCAAGCGCAGAGAGTTGCAGCCTTTTTTTTGGGGGGGGAGAGGCTGGCGCTGGAGACTGTGAAGGAGCTGAAGCCCCAGAGGAGCTGAAGCGCGATATCTGAAATATCGGCCTTGATCCCCTCTGAGGCCCAAAGTCTTGGCCACCCTTCCAGGCCTGTGCGCCGGCGTCTCTGAGCGCCCCAAAAAGGAAGTACGTAGCCGGAGAAGAAGCGAATGAGAGAAGGGTGGAGGGTGCTCTCTTTCTGTGAGGTCCTGTGGAAGCCCCCGGGCTGGTCGGCCGCCCTCGGAGATCCGTGGCTGCCCCAAAATATATATAGCCCCCGCCTTTTTTGGCGCCTGTTTTGCGGCGTGGGGCCATGGGGGCCAGGTCGGACTCAGACAAAGGCTTTGCTCTGAGACTTTGGCTCCAGCGCCACTTCGGCCAGTCTGGGCACCTAGCAAACCCAGGTGCTCGGAGAGTGCGCGGTAAAGATGCGACGAAGCAGTCTGCTGCAGAGGTCCTCGCCAATCGTTTACGACGAAGGCTCGAGTAAGCCGTCATCAGAAAGACGGGAGACTGCACGATTCAGAGAGCCGTGCAGGCGGCTGCTAGACTTATATAGGCTGAAGTTGCTCGTCGAGAAGCCTGGCAGGCGAGACATATGGACTGGTGCATCGGCTGGACCGCTGCTTTGACTGATCTGGGGACTTTGGTCCAGGGCTGCTTTTTTCTTGAGGCACCGGTGCCTTTCTTGGTGACCGTCTCAGGTTTCACGTCTGGCCCATTGCTTTGGGCTTCATGCTCCTCGGACGAAGCGCCTAGGAGCGCGCCGTGTTGCAAAAGAAGAGGCTTCATCACCCAAGGCACAGACGGAAACCCTAAACCCAAAACCCTTAACCCCTAAAACCCCGAAGCCCTAAACCCCTAAAGATGCGGTTTTTCTGGTTTGGGTCGGTAAGTAAGTGGGCTGGCACTTCCTGTATCACGCCGACTTCGCACCATGAACCTCGCCAGGCTTGTCCGAGTTGTGAGAGCGTAAACCCCTAAAGGTTTAGGGTTTAGGGCCGTTCGGGCTCGTTCTGAGGCTACCGTGGCCTCTTTGAAGCGAGGCTGCAGCCGGGGCCCGAAGGAGGAGGAGGAAAAAAAGGAGGAGAGAGCAAGGGCTTATAGGGTTTAGGGTGTTAGGGTTTAGGGTTTTAGGGCTTTAGGGTTTTAGGGCTTTAGGGTTTTAGGGTTTAGGGCTTTAGGGGTTTTAGGGCTTTAGTGTTTTAGGGTTTAGGGTTTCGGGGTTTCAGGTTTTAGGTTTTGGGGTTTAGGGTTTAGGGACTTGCAGCTACTGAGAGCTACTGTACTCCTGTACTCCTGCTATTTTGGTTTCATTAGCTCTTTGCCGGTTGCTCGGCGGTCGAAAGCTCTACGGGTCTTCCGCTGCCGGCGCGCTTCCTGCTGTGCTCGCTGAGGTTTGCAGCTCGCCAGGCAAAGAACAGGGGCTTCGGCTTTTTGGGGGCAAACGGATATCGGCGATGCCTTCTGACTTTCAACTTTTCTGGCCTGGGACAGGTTTGCAAGGAGTACCTTTGCATCGGCCAAGGCCCCAAGTTGCCCCAAGGGCTCTCTTCCTTCCCAAGCAAGGGATCCTCTTCTCTTCGGCAAAGTATGGCAGGCTGGCTTCCGCTGAGCTCCGGGCCTCTTCACTTGAAGGCCTTCCTCGGACGGAGAGAAAAAGACTCGTGGGAAAAAACACGTCCCAAGACGACCCAGGCTCCTTTGAAAGAGGAGATTGCCATTGATGGGGAGCGATTACCTCAGCTTCCCCTTCCAGGGCCGTGGGGCGGGCCTGCGGGGGGTGTGGGGCCGAGGCTGCAGCTGGCCAGAAGCCGGGTCGACCCCTTCTCCGGGAAATTGGCCCACACAGAGGCAAAAGAGCCAAGTGGGGGCCTAGCCATGTCCAGCGGCCCCATTGGGCCGAGCCGGAGGTTTCCAAAGCAGTTCTTCTCAGTGGTCCGGACGGGGAAGCTTACACGCTCATGAAGGCCGGAAAAGTCTTTCTTCCACTGCAAAAGCATCCACGTCTCTGAGTCGCTTCACGCGATGCAAGTGCCAGGTGCGCCTTCACACAGGACCCAGCACCCGAAGAAGCAAGATCAGCCCATACTCTCCAGTGTAGTTTCTTAGGCTGGTGAGCCAAATCTATGATAATGTGATCCTGAAAGCATCAAATAGGGTCACTCAAAAAAGGAGCTATGTTCGGAGGGTATGGGAAGTCCTCCAAGATTATGATTGCAGCTGTGAGGAAGAACGCATCAAATACGCTGCCACCTGAGCCACGAGGCCGGAACACCAAAGAAGACAGCCCGCGAAGACCAGCTACCTACTGTACAGTATTTTATTGTACACTACAATATGAAGTATACTTCGCATGCTACATGCACAGTATGATATGTTGTCTTATGCTGTATCGTGGGCTACTGTCTTACAAGCCTGACAACTTACAAGGCATCTTCAGTACAGTGGCCTCTCATAAGGTTGGCTGGGCTTCCAAGATAAGCCATCTAAACCCTCTAAGCCTATAGTCCTTTGCAACCCTGTGAACAAGTAAGCCCTAAACTTGTGATGACAACACTGGGCGGCAGAATAAATGATTGACTGTCGATGGCAAAAATGCTCGCTTGACACATGCGTCGAGACCTCGTCTGGCACAGTCCGAGTTGCGAGAGCCTAAACACAGAAAGTGGATGAGTTCTACACCGTGCAATACATCTAGTGCTGGCCTCATGGCTTGTTTGCCCTCGTTGGTGAGCACAGAACCGAACTTGTCGTGATAACGCTTTCCGCATCGTAGGTTCGTCCTAGCCAGGCGGGAGGCAAAAACAACGCTTACCGAGAGATGAGTTCCAAGTTGCAGGCATAAACCCCCAAAAGCCTGAAGCCGCCGCACGACTGCCACGAAGATGACGCGAGATCCACAAACGCATAGCCGCACAGAGCCTCGTTTCGTTTTGTATCCCTCTGCTCTCCAAGGGGCACCCTTTGCTGGGTGATCCAGTCTACGGCGGTCCAACCCCGACCTGGTCGTCGAGGCGCCGGGTGCTGAAAAAACATCACGCGCCAGGGCCCGCCTTTTTGGGGAAAAGGGCTGGTATGGATGGATGGTGGTTTCTAGTGATTCTGATGTCTCGTATTCTTCGCGGCTTCCGGATTCAGCGGAAAAACTGCTGGGTGTCTGATGAGGGCACTTGAAGACTTGAAGCTTAGAGGCAGGAAAGTCAAGGCTCCGTCCTCGTTTCCATCGGAAAAGCGAGCCGAGACCCCTTGGAGCCTGGGAACCGGTCGAAGCCCTAAGCCGCAATCTCAAGAGGCACTGGCTTCACGCCCGGCCCTGAGCTGATCCTTCGAGAGCCTATCACAAAAAGGGGCCTTAATGCTTGGGGCTCCTTCTTATGTGATAAGAATTAAAATAATAAGGAGCCCCAATTATTATACCATAAATATTTTAGTCTACTCTACCCCCTAAACCCGATTCTAACGATGAAGGCCCCTACATCAGCCATTTGAGGCCTGGAGGCTGCAGCTTCGAATCAGCTCCGGGAAGGTCGACCTCGAGGCTCCGCACAGAACACCGGGGAAAGCTTCATTCAGCTAAGCATATGAGCCCTTTGAGCTACCTGGACCCTAAAGAACCTCCCTCTTTAAGGGTTCCCTACTATGGTTACGTTATAGAAGTCCTTGAAAAGGTAGGTTATGTGGTGTCAAGGTATGGTATGAACTTCAGCGAGCATCTTCTTTGCCCAGGTGCCGGTGCCCGTGGATCTCCAGGAGCCCCTCGAAAGGCTCCTCCAGGGGGACACACACACACGCACGCGAGAGAGAGAGAGAGAGAG